TATTATATTCTCTTTCCTTCACTCATAGCAAAACAAGCTTAATTTGATTTATATCCTTAGGAAGAAGAAAAATAACCCTAAGATTACTCACATGGCTGTGATTCAGCTTTTGGCTCCTTCCTCTTTCCTTCTCCTCTTCTCCCGCCCTTCTCCTCCTACCCTACCCACTCTCGTATTCACTCCCACCCACGATGTTGTTGTCATCAAAGAAATGAGTCAGATCGTTCTTAAACGGGTGGGGCAGGAGATAAGTAATAAAAAATTTTCTGAGTGAAGTATGCGGCTTCTGTGTAAAATCATTTCAAGAAGACAGGCAGTTCCTTATATGACACGAAAAGCTTGGAACTGAGTCCAGCCCTCATCAAGACATGATCCCAGTGTCTTACATGAATCTGTGTAGTTTGTGTGCGTGTTTGTAGAGTTGTTCCCATAGCATAGCCATGGAGGCAAGCTCCTCTGAGATTCTGATAGTGGAAATTTTATATAAACTATATACGAAGCTAATGAGCTCTCAAAGCAGAGTACTTTGCTAAACAGTGAGTTTTCTTTTGGAGACAGAATCTCATTCTGTAGCTCAGGGTACTATTGAACTTTGTGTGCCTCCTGCCTTTGCTTCCCAGGGCAGGGAGTGATAGGCATGTGTCATCATACCTGGCATTATTTGCCTTCAAATGAACAGTATCACTCAGAAGCTTGAGGCTGTTCTTCCTACCCTTGGAGTGGAAAACAACTACTGGGGGTGGCTGCTTACCCATGGTGATGTGGTGAGCATTATGGATACAGCGATTTCTATTTCTTTCTTGTATTTTCTTTTTTTAAAATTCCAACATTTATGCTTATTTTTTTTAATTTATTTATTTATTAAAGATTTCTGTCTCTTCCCCGCCACCGCCTCCCATTTCCCTCCCCCTCCCCCAATCAAGTCCCCCTCCCTCCTCAGCCCGATATTTTCTTGCTTACGTCCATTCTTCAGGTGATGAAATACAGAAAGGAAGTAAATCTCACATCCCTTCAGGCATTGCTCTCCCAGGGCCAGTATTGGATCTCTGACTGTCTGTGTTCATCTTGAACTATAGTTGAGGTTTCTGGAACTGACAATGTCAGATTATTTGGTAATTTGAGTTGCTGACAGAGAGGCAACTCTATGCTGTTTCTCCAGATCAACTTTTAGTGCAGAGTTTAAAGAGATCTGTGCCTCTGACCCAAGCTGCCAAGCAAAGGTGTGAGTCTGAGCCTTCTCCCACTATTCATTTGTAATTCAAACCACCCTCTCTTCCTTCTGCTCTTTCTCCCCCATCATGTTAAAGAGAAGTTGGAGCAGTTGCTTGACCTTCAACAGAGCAGGGTAGTTGAGGATCTGCCTACTTGTACAGTACGCTCACACCTCAGGTGCTTGCTGTCCTTGTTAGCATTCTTTATGTCACACGCTGACTGGAAACTGTTAGCTTTTGGTACCTGAGGCCTCGTGCAGTGGTTAAACTGCTACACATAGCATTTTCTTGCTACACAAGAAGCATTCAGCTTCTTGTACAATTTTCTAATTAAAGCTAATCTAACAGAGAATGTATACTGAGGCTTTCCACCCAACTGCCCGAGTTTCCTTTAGGGTAAATGTAGTGGGCTTTTGTGTTGTGGTCTTATGATAAAAAACATAAAGCAAAGGAGAAGACATGAGTACTTTTTCCTGGGTCTGTGCTCTTCTTTATCCTTATTGGGTGCTGTTTGGAGGTAACAGACAGCGCTCTGCTCTGCCCTCAACCGGGCTATTAATATCCTGCCAGTTCCTTGACTCAGTTATCTTTTCCTGGCTGGTAACAGTGCTAATATCTTGACCCATCTGGGCCAACTAGAATGTGAGTTCTGTTTTTTTGTTTGTTTGTTTTGTTTTAATTTTGAGGCAGGGTTTCACGTAGGCTGGCCTTGAACTAACTCCTTATCCTCCTGCCACAGTCCTACAACCTTCCCGCTTCCTACAGTCACTGAGATGGCAGGCTTTTTGCCACCATGCTTGGTTGTGACGGGAGATTTTGAATGACCTTTCTCTGACTGGTTCCATCTGGTTCCTAGCTCCCTTCTGCAGTGACTTTAGGAGATCCCAGAAAATGTGGTGGGAAAAGTACAAACAGATACTGAAATGCTCTGCTGAAGTGAAGGCTTGGTCAGGTGTTCATCATCAATATTAAGTAGTTTTATGTGTTTTTTTTTTTTTTTTTAATGACAGAATAACTCTGCTGGGTGTGTCTCAAACACTGTTTCCAAGGCTTTTCAGTTCAGGAGCACAGCTAGGGATGAGCGAATCAGGACTGAAACACTAGCCGTTCTCCAGACTTTTAAAAGATGTTAAAGGTCTCTTCAGATACCAGAGTTTTGGTTGTATGATGTTATTAAAGTTCTGTATTTCCATGGGAAGCTATGTAATTATAGACCTGATGCTGTCTGTGTACCATAGGGAGGTAACTGTTTTTCAGTGGCTAGATTAATATATCCCTGCTGAAATATGAACAAGTTTTAAAAACTAGTTGAGAAATGCTCTTGTAGTTAAAATAGACTTGAAAAGTATAAATTGGAAATACACTTCCAAGTAGTCTGTTTAAATTTAATTTCTAAATACTGATTCTATATGAAAATTTAAAGTGGTATTTATTCCAGTGAAGTCTTTCGGGGGGATTTTTAATAACGTGAGTGATCAACCTTAGAATTAGCTTTTTAAAAAGTATTATTTAAGTGTGTGTATGTTTTCTGTGTCTTCATCTATGAGTTGGAAAATTTATATCTGAATATTGTGTTATGTTGTAAAAATAGAATGTATGTCCTACCTAACATAACTAGTTATCCATCAAGATTTAATCAACAGTAAATGCTAAGCCTCTGTCAAAGCAGTTGTCGACTTTGGTCAAGGTTAAAGGAAGTATGCTGAAAAGAGATAACTGTAGTTCAGCTGCTTGCATGAGCCTTGCAGACTTTTTGTGTGTAGGGAATTGCACTCATTATTCCACTTCTTCCTGTCTACGTAATACCTGGTACCAATTGACTCCATGGAATGCCACTCCCATCATGCTAGTTACTGAACCTTTTACTGAAAAGTTGATTTTTAAGCAGTTTATTTGGGATTTTTCCCAGAGACCATTTGGTGACTTTCAAGTTTTTGCCTTTGGCTTTTAAGTAAGTTGATATTAAAAGACTGAGATGTTGGGGCGGGGCGGGGTCATTGTCACATTTGTGTTTCTATGTGAGTGACTCAAGTTAGAGTAGGAACTGCAGTGCATACGAAAGCGAAAGCCTCTTACATGTCTCTCACGTCCCTGACCACTTCCTGAAGAAGCTGCCACATGGGCCCCAACATGAGAGTTAAACCGGGTTCCTCCACTGGTGAAGACGTGAGGCAGGCTGCACATTTCCCCACTGTGTGAACTAAAATTGACAGCACATGGTTCTGGAACATTACATATTAGGGAGTGGGGCCAGAGCTTCACTGAGGCTTCAAAAGTAATCTTGGAGCTTTCTTGTTTACATGACTTTGAAATCTTTTAGAACGTGCATTGTGATCTTTAAATGTACACGTTAGAAAAGAAAAAAAAAAGTGAGCTTGTCAGATCAACTGCCACCGCTAGTCTAATAAAACTGACTCATATCCAAACGGCTGTGCTTACACTACCCTCCCATTCTGGGGAAAATGTGGCCGGGGGAGGCGGAGTGAGTCATCACCTGGTTTGTTTGACATATGCTTCCTTCCATAAATTGGGAATGGCAAGCAGCACAGTGCTCTGGGCTTGCCTCGGAGAAATGACTGTTGCAGCTTTGCTGGAGCAAAATGGGGTGTCTGGTTTGGACAGATGAAGCTAAGCACATTTTTTGACTTTAAATGTCAGTGGAGGGGGAGAGGAAATGGACAGATCCGAACAAGGAACACTTGTAAGTACCATTTTCAGAGAATGGAGAAATGGAAGGCTGTTCGTGGTTGAATTTCTTCCCGAGGTGGTATTTACGAGAAATTGGAGGTATTAAGAATGAATCGGCAGCTACTTCACGAAGTGGGCTTGTTTATTTATTAAGAGTGTGCTTTGTATGGACAGAACAAAATGGACAGGGAAGGGGGATATGATTTGTAGCTAGCATAAGGATTTGTTCTGATGATACTTAAACTTGCTTACGGTTTACAACTGTTTTAATAAAACATGTTTGCCTTAGGATCTTTTCTTGGGCCCTTTAAGGGAAGGAAAGAGAGGCTATGCCCTTTCCCCATTTCCTTACAGTGGTTCTCCGAGGCTCTGTAGAACTGTACAGAAGGAAGTTTGGAACGTAAACTTTTCAGCGAGTCTGACAGAGGCAGGATGAGCCGTACATTTGCAGCTGAAGTGCGTTTTTAAACTCAGCCTCTGCTTTGGGATTATTTTTTAATACATGCCAGACATTCTTCTGATTTCTAGCCTGCCTGGGTCTCAGCTTCTTCTCTGTCTGTGTGAAGCTAGGGTGTTACTTGTTTTAAAGCTTGAATTGTTGGAGCCAGGGCGTTTTCTGTTTCAGCTTGCCCCCACCCCCTTCCTGAATGAGTGTCCTTTGTATAACCCCAGTAATTCAGAAATCCTACAGTCATAGGGACTGCCCTGTCATGTGACTTAGGTACTAGGTGTTAGTTGTGATTGGTCAGCAGCTAATTGGTGGGTCCGTATAAGAAGTCCCGGGTCAGGCGATTTTGTCCACTGTCTACTCAGCCCCTGACTACTGCTCAAGATGGGTAGGGTGCAGGTGGGATCTGTCTACTGATTCCTCCTATGATAGATGATGAAGTAATTGCTGCCCCGGGGTCTGCACACCAGTGTAAGACACTCAGATTACTTGTGGCTGATTTGATCAAACTGGCTTCCTGAACTGGTAACTGTCACTTTAATGTAGCTTACTGATTAAACTGAGAAAAATGTAACTGAAAATGTGTGCCAAGAACTTGTGTGGACTTATTCCCTGTCTCCTCTTTCCCCTTTGTCTGATTCATTTTGTCACAGGAATGAAACGCAGATAAGTCGTTAGAAAACTTTTCGAGGCAAAGCTCCTCGTGTGATCAGAACAAAGCCGTTTTATAATCAGATTTACCAAGCTGAGAGCGAGTTTCGGGCAAACGGAAGCTGCAGTGTTCTGTCACCAGGAAACACTGCATTTTCCAGAATCGGTAAGTGAAAAGTGGCATTGTCCCTAATAAATATCATATGGTGTGTGGGAGAATTGCAAAATTGTTCACAGACTCCTAACAATTGTGTAGAACAGAAAATATAACATGAAAGGTAGGAATTTTAAAAGCAGGCAGCCCTACAGTATAGCATAAAGGCTGAGAAGGAACCAGGTAATTAAAAAAATGAGCTGAATGTTACAAGTGCAGCCAAATACGTACTGTAACTAGGTCTTAATTTTTGAACCTGGGCTCCTTTTCAGTGGAGGAATGTATAAAATCAATGGGCTGTTGGCCTGAGTTGCTGCATGAACTTTCCATGGATAAAAATTTTCATTCATTCTGACTAGCAAGTTGAAATTTGAAGAGATACTTTCAGAATTAGTCTGCTCCTTTCCCTCTCCATTGTGTCGAGTGCTTTGTCTAGATCTTTACAAAATGAAAGTTGAAGCATCTGATTGTGAGTGGTAGATTCTGATGGTCGTGGATTTTGCTTTGCATTCATATACCAATTTTGAAATTCTTCTATTTGATTATATTAATAAAGCAAAAGGGTGCCTATTTCCATATAGTCCATAACATCTGAAGTTGGTAATGAGCAACTCTTAGCTGTGTAGTGCCTTTGTGTTTGGCTTCCTTTCTCTGAAACCTGAAATTTAGTTTTCAGATTTTGAGTCTGAGCTTTTCCTATGCTTAAGGTTTTCAGAAAAAGACAATAGCCTTTGAATACCTATATTCCTAAAAACAGTAAGATGGCACAGTTTTATATTAAATGTGAATGTTTGATTGCTTGGCTCTGCTGAATAAAAAAATTGTAGAGAAAGGTTAAGCACAACAAGCAAAGATTAGATAGTGGGTGGCTGCTTGATTTTTGCCAGTTTCTTATTGGTGAGTTGAAGTAATCATGTGATATATACTTACATAGAATTAGAGAGAAAATATTTTAAGTGTCAGTAATTATATAGGTATTCTTGGCAATCTTCATTTATGAATGTAAACATGTAATTATGTCCTATGAACAGAATTGTGCTTTGAATTTTAAAGAGTGTAATATTGTTTATTTTGTGTTAAGTATCTCCAGCTAAATTAAAAGTCGGGCAAACATGTTTGACTTCTGGTTCTCATTCCGCTGCTTTTGAAATTATAAAATTTCCAACTTTAAAAAAGCAAGTTATAACAGGATAGCAAAACTACAGGCTCGCTGTTAGTTGAGTGGGGTACGGATGGGGAGGAGGAAAATGAGTACAGTAGATTCTGTAAATCCCCCCCCACACACACACACTTTACATACTTTGAGGGTTTGAAGATCATTTTTCAACAGCTCATAAGTAGCTCCCAAGACGTTCATTTAAATTGGAAGACAAGCATGACTGTGAGGTGCAGACCCAGCCACAAATCAGTACATTGGCATCACAAATTTGTGTGAGTGTCACAAGCCATTTGACTTAGTATGCCCTCCTGACACACATGAATTTATAGGTTTGAGAGACAGACAAATGGTGACAAAGCATGACAATATTTTTAGATAATTTATATTCTACTGCTAGTGTGCATGCAGGGAGTAATACTTATTTTTCATGTCTGGATTTCATGTAAATACTTGGATAAGACATGATGATTTAATGTTAAGCTAAATACATGCTGGATAGGAAAAAGACTATAAAACCTTTAAATGTTCTTTAGGCAATCAGAAGCCATTGTCGTGAGTGATAAAAATGGGATATAATGTAAATTGGGATAGTAAATGTTACAAAGTATGTCCCAGAAGAATTACCAAAAGCTTCATTTTTAAATTTACTTTGTCATCTTTTTCTCAATGTATTATGTTTAAATATACATCTAAAAGCATGTAATACATCTAAAATATACATCTAAAAATACATCTAAAAGAAGTTCTTTCCTGGAGTTACAGAAAGTATTGGTATTTTGGTATATTTGGTAAGATATATTAATGACATGTATCTGTGGGTTTGCAAAACAACGTGAAAGACATTTGAGAGACTTATGATTAAATTTTATTGAGGTAATCACTGTCTCTGTCTCTGTCTCTCTGTGTAAGCTTTATTTGAAGGGGGGCTTTAATCACTAATGAAATGAATGGCTATTTATTAGAACTCAGATAAGCCTTGCAATGTTGTTCCTATGACAACTGAGTAGCTGGGTGTTGATCTTTAGCTTTAAGATCTCAGTTCATAAATGTCATTCAAACCTTCTGTTGCAGTCTCTTTGAGTAGGAGGAGAAGGGGAAAGCATGAAGTGTCATAAGTAGGAAACACTGTATTCCTTTCATGTCTCCTTGACTTGCCTTTGTGTATGGGATCACCATGGAATATAGGTCTTGAGGATAGCAATACTTAAATACAAAATCTTATGAGAAAAGTTGGGAGAGATAAGTACCAACATGGAGTAATAAGTCAGCGTACATGAAGTTGTGCACATCTTTGTTGAGCGCTGAGCAGCAGTGAGAATATCTTGAACCAGAAATTGTAGGCTCTACAAGAGCTGCTAACATTCAAATGCAATGTGAAGAGAATTCTTTGGTAGGTGGCTTACCACTTTGGCATAGTATTCCTCTTCCCTAGGCTGACTACAGAAGATTCTGTGTTCTTGCAACATGCTTTTCAACCAACTGTGCATCTGCTAGCACAGCTTTACTAGCTTATGTCTTTTTCCCATGAAATAGACAGGATTGCATTATTACATCAAAAAATTACTCAACATACTTTAAGAAGAGTTTTTGAGACCTGTTTATGGAAGTGAACTGGCAGACTGAGAATCTAGGAAACACTGTATCAGCAAGAGACTGTTTAGACTAATAATGTCCCTAGATTGATTATTCACTTGTGCATATTCCTTGCCTGAAGGCATTTTCTGTTCCCATTTTCTATTATTCAATGTTTTTGGCAATTTATTTTGCCAATAGTATCTTAAGAATTAGTGAGGGAAAGATTTCAGTAAGGTTTATCCCTTACTTAATAAATATAATTCTACCATTTTTTTTCTCAATCCAAATGGTTCTAACTAGTGAGGGAAAACGTTTTTGTCACAAACTGATAGCAAGTCCTGACCTGAGCTTACAGGAGGCCACTTGTAGTCTTTATTTAGCTCAGTGGGTCCTTATGTTTTATCACAGAAATATTTGCATACTTGCTTTTAGAATAGAATGCCAGACCTCCCCTGTAGTTACATACATATGTGCATATATTAAGTAATCACCCTCTTTGTAAGATTTATAATAATCTGAGTGCCTCCTGCCAGAAAAGGGTTTCTGACTCTTGAATTAACATTTATTGGACTCATGCTATGTGTTAGGTACTTTTCTAAATATATCCCTGGCATCTAGTACAGTGCTTGTCAGTTCCTGATAGTTACCCAGGAGATATATTTTAGTATCAAATATTTTACATGTATTAACTGAAATGCCAGTAGATTTTTACTCCATTTTATGCAGAGAAAACTGCATAGAGAGGTGAAGCAAATTGCCCGAAATGACATAGAAGAGAATAATAGAGCAAGGCTTTACAAACACGGAAACCTGGCTGTGTCCGAGGGGTGTATCACCTGCTTTCTTCATTCTTGGTTATCCTATACCTAGTGTCATCAGAAGGTGATAATATCATCACTGTGGTTATTACTATGTTCCTGTGTGAAATGTTTTTTTTTAAACTGGTCTGTGGTGGGATTATGGGAGTTCAAGGGATCTAACCTCTATCAGTGAATCAACCTGACTTCTTTAGTTGGTAAAAACTAAGAGAAAAAAAAATACATTTTTTTTAATCCCAAGGGAATTTACTTACACAGTTAGAAACAAAATTCTTCCATTGCTATTTTCTGGGACTTTTTTTTTTTTTTAACCCAGAAGGAGGTCTAGAATGTGAAGGGAGAAATGGTCACCTCAGGGAGTTATGCTGGGCACAGTAAGTGGCTCCAGGAAATTTAACGGCATTACTGAATCCTGAAAAGGAGTGCTTCTTAAAAATATGTCTAAGGTGGTTCTCTTGTACCTATGTGTTTCTAGTGATTAAAAAATTCTTCTCAGCCCTCCCCTGTTTTACTTTCTTGTCCTTCCATCCCCACTTAGGTTTTTTTTATAGCTCTTATTTCCTTTTGGCATATTGTGCATTTTATGTCCTTGCTTGACATTTTAGCCAACCACTCCTGGTATTCTTTGCTTTGAACAGACGAAAAGATTTTTAGATATGTATTTTGATCTCTGTTTTTAACTTCCCTTATGCTCATTTCAAACTACTGTAGATGGGGGGGGGGGAAATTTTGCTGACTTTCTTCCTTCTTCCATCCCTATCTCCCTCCTTCGCTCCCTCCCTCTCTTCCTTTCTTCCTAGTCTTTTGTCTTTTGTCTTCCTTGTCTTTTGATACATACAGGATTTCTCTGTGTATCTCTTGGCTGTCTGTCTTGGAACTTGCTCTGTAGACCAGGCTGGCCTTAAAGTTACAGAGATCTGCCTGTCTCTGCCTCCTGAGTGCCGTGTTTAGTCTGACACCAACTTTTTTTTTTTGCTATTACCATTTTATTAATAGTTCTGAAAACTTATTTCTCCTAAACAAACCATGTAGATTTCATGGTCAAGGTTTGGAGAACAGATGTTTTTATTCAGAAGGGGAAACTGAACCAATTTCAAATGGACTTACTAGGTACATATTTTTTAAATTTAGAAATGAGATGATTGGCCATTTATTTTCTTGCTATCAAGAAGAGTAAATATTAAGGAGAACATGCAAAGTAAAATCATTTTATGAACTACTTTCAATTTATAAAGATGGGCAGCAAAATTAGAACATGTATTTCAGGTAAAATATCAACACTTACCTACTAAACTGCCCTTGTTTCTTTGGAAAATAGTCAATATAAAACAACTGCTATTATACTATATATTAAAAATGGAAGTGATTTAATATTAGCATCTTCTAGTTCAAATCCTTAGGATTCCATGCTATAACTTAATCTCTCACTACTCCATTTATTCTAATTTATACATTCTAAA